GGGCTTAGCTCTCTTGGACTAGGGTGCATAATTCCAGAGGGCATAAATATAGTGCCTGTTGTCAACATGAATTTTTACTTAAATCCTGAAATAGCAGCCTAGAGAGTATGAAGTCTAACAAAGATAAATTTAGCACGTAAGAAAGGGAATATTCTTTTCATGTGATGGTAAGTTCATTGACTAAACTCATTAATGTATAAACTCATTAGATTATAAGTTAATAAGTTATAAGGTAAATTATAAGTGTGACATAAACTGAATAAAGCATAGTAGATTAATATGTGTTTGGTAATGATGAAAGTATCTTGGGTTACCAAAACATAATAATAATTGCTTGTACTGTGTGTTAAATATTATATGAATTATTGTGTAAGCCTCAAATTCATTTCTATCAATTACTAGGTATTATCTCATTTTAGTGTGTTGGGGATCAAACTTAGGGTCTTGTGTATGTGAAGCAAGCACTTTTACTACTGAGCTACATCTTTAGCCCTGAAATATCACTTTTCTATACCTATCTTTAAGGTTTTAATGTTCTCCATTGAAAACTGAAGGAGTTGTATAGTTTTAAAGTTCCTCTTTTGTTTTAAATATCTAAGAATCTAGAAATCTTCTTGACCTTCATTTCATTTTCTCCCAACTAGACCTCAAAGTGGTATAGAGAATAGTGATGAGGTGAGGTGGAATGGATGTGGTAGTTGACTTCTACAATTAGATGCTATGTGTTTTAAAGGTTATGATTTCCTTTTTTTTTCTCTACAGTATCCTATCCATATTTGCATAAAATGTGGTCACACATTCTTGATTAGTTGTAGACACACACTGTAATAATACTAACACATCCAGGTTAAGAACTATCAATTTTTTCACAATTTATTGCACAATGCTGGGTTTAGAGGAGAAGCATAAAGAATGTTATTCAATGTTCTTTGTTGTGAAAAAGTATATTAGCTTACTTTCTATTTGTTTTAATTGTGGCCAAATACTTGATTTCCTTTCAAATCTTGACACTTCCTTTAGGTAAGTTTGCTGGAGGGCTCACTTTCTCTCTCTTTTGTGGCACTGGGATTGAACTCAGAGGCCCTTTACCACTGAGGGCTTGGAGTTCTACAAAACAAATTGAATGCATTTCCTTTTCACCTGTTTAGGCTAATGACCTTTAGTGTTATGCAGAGTAAAGACTTTACCTAGCCTCCATTCATAAGAGGTATTTGGTTTGAAAAAGAATAGACTAATTCCAACAGAATCATTAAATAAAAATGAGAAAGTTGAGCAAAGATTAAAAAAAAAAAGTCAGTTGAAGAGTCTCTAGGGAACACACATTGTTTTGCTTTGTTTAGTCGGAGATAACTCTTTAGTGCCTGCTCTTGAACTAATTTAGTCTATGAAAAACGACTTTCTTGTAGAGGACTTTCTATAACTTCAGTTTTCTGTTGAAACATTTCTCTTTTATGCATAAATGTTTGCCTTTTGTTTTTATTTTGGGGGATGGAAATTGCTTAGACTTATGATCATGGAAGACTGGTCTGTTTTGGAGAAAAATGAACTTGAAAAGAATTCTGTAAAACACAGGGCACACACTTTTATGTATAAGAATTGAACTATTGGCTCATAATCAATACAGGGCACTCACTAGGGAGTGCACACACACACACACACACACACAAAATATTCAGAGGTAGAATCTAACTATATGCAACAGCAGTGACTCTGCTTTACTTCTAAAGGGGCTGAAATGTGAAATGGCCACATACTGTCTAGGCATACAAGTTCCATAGGTTATTGGGGGAAAAAGTGCATGCATGCCCTTATTCATCTGAATTCCTTATTCTGTGACTATATTACAGTCCTTCTTTGGACACTTTATAGTGATTAATTTAGCAATGAGAGCATGTGAGTAAATTTTTTTTTTTTTTTTTGCTGAAAGCTGTATAATCTGAAAATTGAACCTACAGATACTTTTTATTGGTGCTAAATTCAGCTTAGGTTCAACATATCCATTTGTAATTCTCTGCAAGAAAGCTTTAAACTTCTTTAACATGCCAAAAGTCTAGGTTTGAATTAAGTGACTAATGCTTTACTTAGTTTTTAACCACTAGTTCTTCTTGCCAAAATCTTTTCAATTCATCCTGAGCCAATGTCATTCATGGCCTGGCAACATACCTTTTCACCTCCTTACACCCCAGTTTTTGATTTTCCAGTCCTTTGGCTGCCCTCCTTTGGTTTCTTCCTTTACAAACTTACTTGTCTGACTGGTTCCTAGAAGCCTAGCAGAGATTTTACCTGATATAAATCTGACTACCACAAATTAAAAGTGGGAGACCACACACTCCTCTCTCAATGCAAATATAAATGGATCTAATTTATAAACAAAGAGAATGCTTCTATTTTTTCCTCCAAAACCAAATCATGCATGGGCTTTTAAGGAGAAAATGAAGTGTGAGTTGTCAGAGAAAATGACTGGCTAGAGCAGAGGTTAGCAAAAGACTATGATAGCAGCATAAAAAGCATCAATCCTAGTTATTAGTCAACAGCGGGTGCCACCCCTTCTGTAAAGGTTAATGAGGACAGTTATCTTTGTTTTGTGCTCTGGTTCAATTCAAGCTTCTAAAACTCGTTAACATGAAATGAGTGCCCTATAAATATGTTTCATATTCAAAGGTTGAGAGAATAATTAAAAATTGACAAATTGATATCACAAACAAAATGACAAAGGCTCCCCCACAAAATGTTTCCTGTTTCCAAATACAACCCCATTGTTCTACATCTCTTTATACCCTGCCTTTTCCATTGCTTTTGCCGTTCTAATTCCTCTACATATATACTTAAATCTAAGAACACATATGCATACAAATACCCCTGAAATTGCTGACTTAAATGTTATTCAAAGCAAGTTGCTGCTTTTGAATGTTAACTCCTAAACGGTTCACTGTTTCTGCGCAGCATTCTTTCCCGCCTTCTTGGAGTTGAGAGGGATTAAACAACATTCTCTTTTCCCTCAATCTTTTTCTTTCCTTCTTTTCCCTCAAGTTTTTCTTTTTTTATCTCTTTTCTCTGCTTTATATCTTTCCCCCAAACTATCGTTTCTCTAGGATCGTTGCTTGCTTTCTCCCACTCCAGTTAGTCCCTTTGATCCTTTCTTTCTATGCCTTATTCCCAGAAGCTCCAGAAAATACCTTCTTTTCCCCCTTTCACGTCACTTCCCTCCCTTCTCCATCTCCCTCTCCTCTCAGAGAGGTGAGTTCCCCACTAGAGGCCAGCACTTTCTCGATTTCTCCTCCCAACCAAGGAGCAGCATTCGGAGAGAAAGAAGGGGGGAAAAAAGAGGGGAAAGAGCGAGAGAGGAAAAAACCTCGGGGCCTAGAGCGCAGAGGCCCGGGAGCGGCGTCGTCATGGCAACGGG